TTTTTTTTTTTCCTTTTTCTTCTTTTATGGAGAAGAAGAGGACTTTAGCTAATTTTCCAGTATTTGATTTCTAATTATCTTTAAAGCCGTTAGCATTTGATCAAAAAATTTCTCCTTGGGCAGTTGACAATTCCCCGGAAACCTTGCCTTTTGTTCTACTACGATAGAACTGCAAAACCTTTCCCATTATCTACAGGTAATTTAACTCTGCCCGATACACACTAATCCTATGGTGCCAACCTGGATAACTGGGGGGGATCCCACTCTAGATTACCTACGTCCCAGTAAAATTAAGTACCTTCTGGTGGCACCTACAACCTTCCTCTCAGTCTTAGAGAGAGCCTCACGTTCCTATGCGAGGTCTTTTTTGTTTTGGTGGTGGTCAAATAAGAAATCTCCACAAATCTGACAGGAATGATGCAAGTTGCAAGGATAAAATTCAATATACAACCGTTGATTTTCATTATTTCCATTTGCAGGTTTCCTAGTTGGAGCTTTGCAGGTTTTTGGTTGTAAACAAATATACAGGAACGCTTAAAATAGGCAGCGCAGGTCAGCTCTCTGCAGGCAGAGGGAAACACTCATTGTTGCCGCCATCGTCTATTGTTGCCGGCTGGAGTTTTTCAGACACTTCAGTACAAGAGCAACATGTAGAACATAGCGTTTTTGTCGGCACATCTAATTAAAATAAATCCCAGATTGCTCTGCGTGTTCTGACACCGATGAGGCTTTGAGGTGTCACAGCTCCTTTTAAAGAAGTGAAGAAACGTAATAATTAGCAAGGATGCAAATATAGATTTAAACATGCATATTCAACAAAGCTATAGTGCAGTTAATCCCTAACAAACAAGTTAGTCTGCTTCAGCTTTAAATCAAACATATCCTCCCATTTAATTTCTTGAGATTAGCGCAGAAACTGTATACATTGTCTGAGATCACATCTTGCCTTACAAGAGGCAACTGGAGAGCAGATTGCTGTAGTAATTCACCCAACATTTCACAACTTCATCTCTCTGGAAAAAAAATGGATTATTTACAGAGATGCAAGAAGGAAACCATCTTTTTTCGGACGTTCTGACAGCTGGAAGAATCTTCTAAATTCAGCAGGGACAGAAATGTTTCAGTTCAGTTCAGTTCAGTTTATTCGAACAACAAAACAATAT